TTAAGGAGTACTTACAGATGTGATATTAGCACCATACTGCCACATTATTGTTTTGTAGATGTATAGCAGACAGGATTAAGACATCACTTGATTTGGGCATAAAATTGGGAGTCATTCAACACTGGATACTAACAACTAAATGAGAGCAGGAGCTTGAAGAGGGAATTTTTTCCATGATTGCACCTTTATCAGTTATCAACACCATCAAAAAACCTTATTGAAGTAAAGGAAGACACCCTGTGATGCTCTGCCCTTGTCTGCCAAGCCAGTCATGACCCTGTTAAAAGTTGTTGGTTTGGTCAAGCGTGGCTTCCTCTTGATGAAGCCATTAACATTCTTGTCTTTCATGTGCCTGGAATTGGTTTCCAGGTTAGTTGTTCCATCACCTTCCTAGGTATTGAGGTGAGACTGAGCAACCAGTTGTTACCTGGTCTTGCTTCTTGCCCCTGAAGAAACGACTGGCACAAGAGCATAAGAGGAGTGGAAGGTTAAAAGGACAGCACTGGAAAATAAAACAATGAAAGATTATTGTATCCCAGTTGCCTGTCATCTACAGGATTGCAAAAATTTATAGTGCTCATACTGGATCTGAGTAATGAGTGTGTCCCCGCTCCTGTACTGAAAATATGTGCTTTATAGGTGAAAATATTTGTTAAGAGGTCGCAAGGTTAGTTCTTTATCTGCCTCCTTAATTTGGACAAAGTATCTAATACCTGCTGAACAAGGGGTAATTGAAATTAGGTTTTGTGGCTCTTTTCATAACAAGGACTCAAGTTTTTTTTAGGTAAAAAATTTCCAAGTCATGCTAGAAAAGAAGCTCATCATGTGGAGGATGTTAAAGAATCAACTCCCTGGAAGCTTGTTCTCGCTTCAGTTTCTTTAAGTGATATTTGCAAACAAACTGTTTTCAATAATCTCAGAATAATTGAAGGCAGCAGATATCGCTTGCTTTCAGTAGATCTCCAACATGAGAAGAACCCTGAAGGGTAATGCAGTGGCCATTAGTGACAGCTGTGAAAAATGGCCATGTAAGGCCTGCATATCAAAGACGTCTTGATGTTCTGCTGTTTGCAAGGACAGTATTTCAGAAGAATGTACTAGCAGCATAAAAATGATTTTGAATGAGAAGCTGTTAATACATGACCTGAAGTAAATATATTTAGAAATTGCTATAACCATGTACTTCGTTCACTAAACGTGTGTGTATTACCAAGACAATCTTGAATGTCATAAAAAAGTAGTAGCCCCAGTAACCTTGAAAGCTCCACTTGAAAATAAATGCACAAGATTGTGTACCTGTTCTTTCTACTGGCCCTTTTTCGTATCAGATTCTTAATGCTATTTTTAGTTTATCTTAATGCTGCTTAGTCTCCTATTTTTAATGTGATCTTTTTCCAAAGGGCATAACAAGGAATAGGTTATCTAGTACTGGTGTCAATACTTAAAAATAATTGCTGTGGGAGTCAAGGAGACTAGTAATAGAAACTGAGATGAATCTTAGAGCAGCAAGACTCAAAGCATTTGTCATGCTACCTTGCATCTCTACAAAATGTGGTATTTTTTAGATAAAACACAACACTAAATTAAACAGTAAGTTTAAGAAATGTCACTGCCTTGTTATGCAGGTTTTTTTCCTGTTACACACTTCTGTGCTCACTGAGTACAGTACTTAACATCTTGAAAGGCCATTTTCTGCATAAAGTTTAGTCATAAATGAGTCCTTTTGGGGCAAAACTGCTAAAAAGAAATTAAACATTTCTCTTTATGATTTGTAATAAAATACTCTAGTGACTTCAGTGTGGCTTCCTTTTTGTTCTTGTCCAAAAGTTTTAATACCTTGTTTATGCCAGAATTACACGGACTGGAAGAGACCTTGGAGGTTCTCTCCTTGAGCCAGAAATGCAGCATGGTCTCTGCCACAGAACACTGAAGTAAGCCACTGCTTTTCATTATACCTACTTCAGGTGGACCACAGTGCAGAGCCCATGGGACTGAACAGAAAACAAGACTCAAGATGCAGTATGGTAGTGAGGGTCATTAAGTAATTACTCTTAAGAATTGTGTGTGTGCAAGTTTCTTCTTGTAACTCGTCCCACTGGTGCCAGCCTTACCTAATTCATTGCAGGTGACTTTAGCACAGTTCCTGTCTACCTGTGAATCATGGCAGACATTAAGCACCAAACAAATGTCTTCTGAATTTGCACAAAAGCCCTCCTATGTGTTATGAAGCATCTTAAACAGAAAAAAAGGCCTACCAAATTACAGAATTGATTGAAATCTCAGACAGGAGGATAGGAAATTCCAGGAAATGGTGCTTGTTTTGGTGAGAATGGGAGAAACAAAATAATTTTGCAGGTAAAATTAAAGAGGAAGATAATTTGTTCCAGATAGCTGCTGAATATTGCTTTGGGTGCCTGCTGTTATACAGATGAATTTTTGGTGTTAGTTGTTTTTCATTTTTCAGATTGAAGGTTAGAATATTGGTGAAAACCATGTAGCTACAAAATGTTGAATAGTGCTTTAAGGAGAAAATCTTCACCGAGGAAACAAAGGCAGTATTAATGGCTAGAAATATTTGATGTACTAATGAGTTTGAAAATATTTTTTCAAAATTATCAAATTATTTTGAAGTAATTAACTATGAAGTAACCTTAAAATCTAGTAGTTTACATACTGGCAAGGGGAGAAAAATGGGACAGAAACTTTTGATCAAGAAATAATAGTTCCGATATTTGAAAGGGGCATCTTAGGAGATCGTATTTTTATAGAAATTCCTAATTTTGTAACTTGTACCTTCATTGCCTTTCTTATTTAGAAAGTGATGAAACAAAAATATGCATTTAATATTTATTGAAAATTTTTATTTGACAAAGCAGAGGACCTAAGTAGATTATTCCTCCCATATTTTTAAATTTTTAGTTTAGATAATGAGATTAATTTGCCTCAGTAATAAGTGCCAAATAAAAGAAAGTGCTATTTGATGAACTCTTTAGTTCTTATTAATGTATGCAGAAGTATTTGACTTCTGTGAAAAGTTTGCATTCAAAACTAACCTTTAAATTATTTCAAACTTGTGGTTTTAGGTAGTTATCAGAAATCTAATACAGTGTAATGTATTGCACTACACTTGCACATTTAATATAATTCTAACAGTTTTTCTTTTCAGTTGAAAGAAATCATTCTATATTCAGAATTTTTAAGCTGTTTACGCAAAAGGGGAAATAAAACCAGTATCATGAAATAAAGGAGCATGTCAGAAATGCTTCTTTTTACAGCTTCTGTGACCCATAGGGTTTCTTATAGAGATGGAGAAAACTCAGATGTTCAAGGTTTTATGGCACATTCTGTTCTGAAGTACTCACTGTTAATTCTGATTAGTGTTTATAATAATTATAATTTTGTTGGTTTATAGTGTATTTCCTGAGATATGGTCAGTTGTAGAAAAGTTAATTTTGAATTGTCACTTTTAAAAAATGCTTGATATGTTGTCATGGTTTACTTTCAAAAACTATACTTACTTAGAGTGTTTGGAATCAGTGTTCTGTGCTCCAGATTGTAAACACAGTGCTGAAAGTTATAATACAGTATAGAATCAGGGAATTCATGGGGTATTTATTCATCAGGCTATTTCCCAAACAGCTGGATCTTGAGAAATGTAAAGTCAACCTAAGGATTTTTGGCAAGAGGGAGCAAGTATTTCTCTGAGAGATTAGCAAGGGTCAGATTGTGTGATGATACCTGTTCATGGTAGCTGCAGGAATGAAGTTTGGTTAATTGGAGCCCTTTGCTGAAGGTTTTCAGGGGTGATTTGCTCATGCAAGAGGAGTGTCTGTAACACTGTGTAACAGGCTTCTGCTCACTTGGGCTGCCATTGAATGCTCTTGAGTTTTTCTCACTGCTCTTTACAAACACCAAGCTCCCTCTTTATCCCCCTTTTGCAGGAGAGGAAGAAAATAAAGGGTTATCTAAAATAGCTCTTTATAAGATTGTGTTGAACTTCAAAGCTCTCCTAATGCTAAATACTAAGATTCAATGACTTCACCAATCTCAGGAGTCTCAGTGACCCTGTGAAAGCCACATTATGTATATGATAAAGGTGTGAGTGAAGCAGGTTCTGCTGGTGTCAGCCCAGGGCCCAGTCTGACTGTGTCCTGCCACTGTTCCTGGGTAATCTCTTCTACTTAAAGGCTGTACTCATTGATCAAACAGTCCACTTTGGGTTTTTGTGATAAGTATTATGCAAAGGCACATTAAATGCATGTGAAGAAATGCGTTTTTCATGTCACTATTATTAACCAGTTGATCTTCATTTTAGAAACTGATGTTTTGATGAATTCAGGGGATCAGTCTGATACTGGTGTAAGAACTATGAACAGTTTTATGAAGTAGTTTTCATAATCAAATTTCACATCAATACCATCATACATTTTGAAGTCTCTAGGCAAGAAGAGACTAGGAGTTCTCTTTTCAGAGGAAGAAAAATGCTGTTCTTAGCATTCAGGTTTAAAAAGGAAAAGGTCATGAACTCAGGTTGTGTGCATCGGTAGTCAGCATCTATAAATTCTGCATGTTGTGCAGATGTTCTTTGCAGAAAGGCAAATTGATGTCATTAGTATGCATCTAATTTTTAAATTTAAGCTTTTAAAAACTTTATTTTTTTTCTCTTTAATGCTTCAGAACTGTGTAGTTTGGTTGCTGAAATGAGTTGATAAATTATAAACAGCTTTTTGCCTACTGCATGATACTCAGTGGTTCAGTTTAAGACTTCAGTTTATTTTAAGCTATCCTCAAACTTAGATTTATTTTAACATTTACTACATACCACTGAAAGTACAAAAAAAAATTTATACAGTCGTGTGCCATGTCCCTTTTGACTAGAACTGCCACATACTTCATTACAAATCAAATTCATTATGATAAACAAATACAGAAAATTACTTCTATTTCTGATACTGGAGCAGGATCTTTAATGAGAATTAAAGCACTGAATCTTTTCAAACATGCAACTTGTGTTTATATTTTTCCCTTACAAGCCACAGAAGAAAGAGGATCAGCAATCGGAAGCTAAAGCGAGTCCAAAAAAGTCATCAGAACCCACTATTGACCTTTTAGGACTTGGTAAGCAATACATAATTACTTAGTTTTAAATCAAACACAGATTTTATATTTTAATACGTGTACTTTTTTTTTTTTCTGTGATTACTGAAAGGTTAATTTGAAAACCATAGGATTGCATGCATGAATTTAAAACTATAAAGGAAAATGCCAGTGGGATGTGGGTATATCAGTACTTATGTTTTGCTAGGGAGAGTAATGAGATCCTGTGGGAAGGGGAAGTTATCAAAGCGATCTTCAAAGGCCTTGTGGATTGTAGCATTTCACTGTTTATGGTACAAGTGTATTTTTTAATGAAAATGCTGAGGTCATCTGTATTATGTATCTGTAAAATACATTATATCATACAATTCCTTTATTAGTTAAAAGAACAGTGAACTGTCAGACTGCAGCTGACTAATACCTTGTAAAACTTAATGCAGTGGGCATTTCAGTGTTCTGTACTGACTGAAACCATCATTCGTTTTATTTAATCCACCTTTTTGTTTTTTGACTGGTTACTATGGGTTTGTCCTGTAAATTAAATAGTTTCTAGTAAAATAATTTAATTGACACTGCCTATACTGTTGTGTATAGGCCATTCTCATAAAATATGTCTTTCATTTATCTAATGTTGCTCTAAATGTGTTTTTTCCATTTGATGGAATCTTAAAATGGAAATGGAAGAATAAAATATTACAGTATTTTTATTTGCTTTTGAAATTCATTCTTAGGAAAGTCTTCTACAAGTTGTGAGTGGATATTAAGAGTATTCACTTTCTATCAATGTAATGGTTACTCTTCATTTTCTACATAATTTCTGTGTTATATTAAAGGAGGCTAATAAGTCTTTTAAATGTAATTCTAAAAACTTCACTCTGTAGAAAAATCTTCTGGTTTATTTTTAGTTTTTTGTTCCAAGGTATGAATAAGGTGACAAAACAGTAGATGTTTTCTCTGTTATAAAATTCACACTCTCATCCAAAATACATGTTTTTTTCCTCTCTGATGTAGAGCTAACTGTAAAGTACCATTTTTGCCTGGGTTATATGTATGTTGTCCATATCTCATTCCAAGTAATTGCTACTATGGGCATGCAAATCTTAATTAACATCCTAGAATGATTGTAGAATGAGCCTATTTAAAAAAAAAAAAAAAGTAATTTAGACTTGATGGAAAGCTGATTCTCCTTTATTTTCCTTTAGCAGAACAACAACCTAATTAAAAACTAAAATTTAATCAATATGTGGTTTTGAGATTGCTAGGCTTCTGTATTCTTTTGGTCATGATTTGAAAAGTATCTTGGTAACACTGTTTTATGATACCATAATGAACTCAGATTGCATTGGCTAACTTGAGATGTAATGTGCAATGAAAATAGTATTATAATTGGTGTTCAACAGCTCTGCTTCTTCAGTGAGATATAAAAAGGGCAAAGTTTATAATATGTGTGTTAAAACACCATAATTTTAGAGGAGGGAATGCTTAAAGATCTTTTAAATAACAAATTGAAAAGCAGTGTAATAAGCCAGTAGCACTTGGAATCCAATGAGCTGCAAATGAGATGTGTTAATGAGAGCAGACCTGCATATTTCATTTGAAGAGTTTTCTTTTAGTTAGCACCTGCAATAGAAGACTTCAGATAGTATTAAAGGAGAGGTCACATCAACCCAATATATCATAGAACCACAGAATAGTCCAGGTTGGAAGGGACCTCAAATGACCTTCTGGTCCAAGGAGTCTATGGGAAGGGGAGCAGAGACATTATCTAGCATCCTATGTGGGCACAGCGTGCAAACCTCCAGTGATGGGAACTCTGCCACATCCGTGGAGTTGTTCTAGTAATTGATCTCACAGTAAAAAATTTCTTTCTTACGTTGACAAACTTGTATCTGTTGCCCTCTGTCTTCCTTGTGTGGCTCCCTGTGTTGAGAAGAGAGAGGCTGTGTCCTCTTCATAGGTTCCCTTTAAGTACTGGCATGCTGGGATGAGTGCCTTCCTGAGCCTTCCCTTCTCCAGGGAGAAAAGATCATCAACCTCCTTCACTCTTTCCTCATAGAGCAGGTCCTGCAGCCCTTTGGCCATCTTCTTGCCTCTCCTTTGGACCATCTTCAGTCTGTGTCTGTCTTGAATGACAGGGGCGAGAACTGGACACAGACGCCAGGTGAAGCCTGAGAAGTGCTGAGTCGAGTGGGATGATCACATCTTTGCCTCAGGAAGTAACACCCTTGTGGATACATCCCAGAATTTCACTCACTTTTTTTGCTGCAGTGATGCACTGCTAATTAGAATGTATGATATGTCATATCAAATAATATTAAAATGGAAATGATTGCTTAGCTCGTTCTTCTTACTGAGCAGACATTTTTTAATGAGGATTCATTCTCTTAGGACTTCATTTCTGCAAGTGAAGACTAGTACTAGCTTTTAGTAGGGCAGCTCAAAATCACTTGTGATAGCAAGTTAAGTAATTTTAATGGATCAGAATTCATGCTAGAATAAGTTTGGCTTTCAGAATGGCCCAGCTTCTTCGCAAAGTATTTTCTTGAGCTACCCTCACTGCTAGCTTTGGATATGGTGTTAGTCTCTGGGTCGTTCTTTTTGTCTCAGTTGATTTTGCAGTAGTAACCTTGTTAGAAGGTAAACTTCCTTAGATAGGGCTTATGCTATGAAAATTAGCTGGGCAGTTTTTTAAAAGGAAACTCTTTCACTTTTCAAATTGCAAAATTTCCAAGGAAATATGCCTTGGCAAATTGTGCCTTCAAATCTTGTAATAGGAGAAGAGGCATGGTATCCTCAGTGACCGTACTTTAACATTTGTGCTTGTTCTGAGCCCTTTTGAATAATTTTGTGTGGTTCTCTTAATTTCCTGATTAGGGTATTGTTATTGAGAGGCTGTTTAGATACTCACTTTTTGATGATGCAATATCATTTGTTGGGTTTGGCTTTTTTGATTCAGAATAGGTTTTAATTCAGAACTCCACATACAGAAAGGTGGGGAAATGGATATGTACAAGCTAAATATTGTTACAATCTCTACAAGCATGTATTAGTGTTCTTGCTGTGCAACCCCAAATTCCTTCCCTCTCTTCCTGGAGCAGTGGGAAATAACAGCCTGTTTCTGTAGGCCAAGCCTGAGGCTGCTTTTTTAGTCATCTCTACAATTATTTGGATCTTACCCATGCTGGAAGAATGCCCTGTTGAAAGTGTAAAGACCTAAAATTGACACTAAAATCAATAATACAGGATTTTATAAAATGAATTTTTAATAGGATAATTGTAGGAAACAGTCTTCAGTTTGAAAGTCACAGTGTATAAACCAAAGTTTTCAGCACTTAAGTGATTGGTGGTGCTGTATTTTCATCTCACTGGTGTTAACCTCGTGCTCTGTGCTCTTTTCTGTTTGCATTTTTTTTTTTTTTTCTTACAAGGTAGATGTCTCCACTTAAACCAGGTTGATGTCAATGATTTCTTAATATTTTGTAAAAAATGGTGTGGTAGCTATGTACTAATGTCTATGGAATATTGGAATGTTACACAGGCAGTTTGTGACTGTTGTGTTTGCCAAGGTATGCCACTTAGAAATTACTTCAACATACAGAGGAAAAAAGGAGGAAAAATAGTATTTTTAAACTATATTACCTTACAGAATTCCCAGAAAGAAGAAAAGTGCATTTTACGTGTTCTGTATCATTTGCCATGTTTAGATGCACCCTCCATAAAATAAACAATTGCATATTCTGGATTAACCTCTGTAGTTACAATGAATAGCTAGAAGAAAAGAGATTTATTATGTTGGTATTTACTGAATTTTATGTGTGGGGCATTCATCTGGCATGGTTGGAGGTAAAATATTAAATGGTAAAAGCTGCTTATCTGCTTTTGCATGGGAAATATTCTCTGAAAGAGTTCTCTGAGATTTTGAGAGGTTAATCATGATATGAAATGTAGCTGAATGTTGCATTACTGAGAAATGTACTTTTGTCAGGACTGTTGGGTAAGTACCAAAGCATCCTGTGGTTGGTCAGAAAGTTGCATTTATGAAATAGTTAAGATACATTTATATGTATATAAATATCATATATGCAAATACAGATTACAAACTCCTAGAATCATAGAATAGTTTGGGTTGGAAGGGACCTTTAAAGGTCATCTAGTCCAACACTCCTGCCATCAGTAGGGACACCTTCAACTAGATCAAGTAACTCAGAGCCCCATCCAACCTGGCCTTGAATGTTTGCAGGGAAGGGGCAGCTACCCACCTCTCAGGTAGAACCCTCATTGTGAAAAATTTCTTTCTTATATCTAGTCTGAATCTATCCTGTTTTAGTTTAGAACCATTACCCCTTGTTGTATCACTACAGACCCTAAGAAAAAGTCTGACCTGATCTTTCCTGTAGGTCTTTAGGTACTGGAAGGCCTCAATAAGGTCTCCCTGGAGCCTTCTCTTCTCCAGCCTGAACAGCCCCAACTATCTCAGACTTTCCTTAAAGGAGAAATCCCTCTGATCACCTTCATGGCCTTTCCCTGGACCTGCTGCAACAGGTCCATGTCTTTCTTGTGCTGGGGATCCCTGAGCTGGATGCAGCACTCCAGGTGGGGTCTCACCAGACTGGAGCAGAGAAGCAGAATCCTTTCCCTCAACCTGCTGGCCACACTGCTTTGGATGCAGCCCAGAATACAGTTGAGTTTCTGGGCTGGAAGCGCACATTGCCTGCTCGTGTCCAGACTTTCATCTTCCAGGATCCATAGCTCCTGCTCTGTGGGGCTGTTCTCAAGCCTGTATTTATAGCATGGATTACCCTGACCCAGTGCAGGACCTTACACTTGGCCTGGTTGAACCTCATGAGGTTTGCATGGCCCCACTTCTTGAGCTTGTAAATATGTTAACATTTATAGTATTGCTGCAATTTTCAGATTATGCTTAAGAAAGCAATATATCTTCCCAAAATGAAAACATTTACAACCATTTGAGGCATTACTAGCTTTCTGGCTTTCCACACTTTATTTTCAGAAGTATTATATAGAAATCGCCTCCCTGTGAATGCTTATTCCCTTTTGCAAAGGTTTTAGCAGTAAATAAAATTTTACTAATGCATTAAATAATTCTGCAATAATTTTGACCAGACAGACCTTGTTTGAATCTTTGCCCGAGATTTTTGTTAGAACTATTGACCTGCTTCTCTCAGTTCTGCCGCTCTAGTAATTTGGTGTAAAAAATAATCATATGCATATTCTCTGTATTGAAAGTCTTGGTATGGCTGTCATAAATGATTGTATGCTTAAAAATACATGGCTGCTTAGTGACAAAGTTGTTGTAAATAGTTCGGTCCATAAAAAGTGAGTTTCAGAAATGCAGAGCTTAAGATCAGGTCTGATTTTTCACTGTTTCCTCTTCTTCTGCCCCTTTGTAGCCCTTCTGCTGGTCATTTTCACTATTGGTGCAAATAAGTATGCAAAGGATTGATGATGTATGTGAAAGCTATGATGTATATGCATAACAGAAGCAGCACTTACTTGGAAATTGTCATGTCAGGGATTAATAAAATCTATACAGGAAAAGAACTGTAAAGGTAAACTTCACTGGAACCTTTCACTATATTATTAAATAGACTTCGCAATCTGAAATCAGAAGCATCATCTGCTGTTACATTGTGGCTGACAGCAATCAGATATTACCTGTAATGGTGTCACAAACTGTAAGAAGAGAAGATTTGGAACTGCACCTGGGAGCAAGGGTGAAGAACAGCATCTCTTGACTCTCTAGACCTTTACTTCTCTGACTGAGCATGGAAGCTCTGCCTTGCATCTGCTCACATTGCAGTGGTTTTTGCTACATCTAACATTTAATTCCTGCCTATGGATGCATTCTCCAGAAAAGTGATGGAAGTTTCTCAAAACCTAGTTGCTTCAAAGTAATCCTGTGATGGTTGAAGATATAAATTTCTCAAAATACTCAGGTTCATGTAGCTTAATCTGATGTTTACCTGTTCCATGGAAAGGCTACAGGTGTGTTTCCTTCTGTCATATACACACCACCTATTCTAATCAGGTTTTTAATGATGGGTGGCCCAAGTTGAATTGAAATGATATTCTTAGAATAAATTAAAACTGAGAAGTATCTATCTTATATTACAGAAATATTTTAAAATGAGAAAGGAAAGGAGGAAATACATCCTAATCCATGATCTGGTGTGTTGGAGTTGAGACTGTCCATAATGTCTGTATAAGAACTGTGGATTATTATGTTGAAAAATAAGACTGTACATGCCTTCATGCAGATATATTTAAATGGAAACACTAATATTGCTACAAGTAATAAACTGGAGTGAAAATACTGTTAGGCTTTTTCTATATTCTGAAACTTAGTTTTTTCAGTAGGGAAGGGGGAAGCTTTTTGGAGTCTCTTTTAGATAGACATAAATATAAATATTCCAAATATTACATTTTGAGAAATCATTAAAACAGGATCATCTATTGGTACTGTTCATAGAGGCTTAAAACAGTGTTGTAAAGAGTAATTCAAAATGTCTGGTTTCTGCACCAGTGGAGACAGGGAGGTATTTATTCAGTAAGAGGTGAAAGGCATGTGCATTACCAAATAACATTCTTACAGAACAAATCTAGCAAAAATCTGGGTTTTCATAATATTAGTTTATAAGCAACATATTAAATACTTGAAAAATACTATATTTTTGCAAATGGGTTCTGTCATGAATGTTCTGAATATGTGAAATGCTTGTTTCAGTGAATGGTTGCATTTAAATTTTCAGTCTTCTATGTTAGACAACTTTACATTCAGGAAATCTAAACAACTTTGAAATTTTCAAAAAGATTTGACAATTTTTTTTTATACATGTGCCTGACTGAGAAAATTAGAACATTAAATTATTAATTCCTGACAGTCCTCTTGCTTGAAAATTATGTGCAGTTAATTCCTAAATTTATCTGAAACAGTAAACCTTTGGGGAGATGTTTTTGGAACTGCCAGTCTGCAGAATGACCTCAAAAGAAGCTTATGCTTAAATGGTCAATACATTTATTTATACACATCTCAAAGCACTAATGTGCATTGAATGGTGCAGCCGATTATACATATGGCCATTTTGCTGTCCCCTGGCTTCCATTCATCAGAAATTAGGGAAAGAGGAGACCTTTGCATTAAGGTCTAAGTAAATCTGTCATAATCATAGCTGAGTTTGTAACTGCTTTTCAGAACCATTGCAGCAGCAGTCCCCCAGCAAAGTCAGATCACAGAAGAGTAATAAAACTGACTGAGGTGGCTACTTCACATTTCTCAAGCCCCTCACTTTTCATTTAGCACAGAAGGTCTAGTAGTGTCAACTCATTCCCATGGCCACTTCACCTTCTTAGAAGGCTGACAGAAAAGAAGGCATCTGTCATGACCCCAGCAGGCAACTAAGCCCTAGACAGCCACTTGCCCCCTCCCCCCACAGGATGGGGAAGAGAATCAGGATGGTAAAAGTGAGAAAACTTGTTGGTTGAAATAAAAATAGTTTAACAGGTAAAGCAAAAGCGGTGCATGTAAGCAAAGCAAAGCTAGGAATTCATCCACCGCTTCCCATGGGCAGACAGGTGTTCAGAAATCCCCAGGAAATCAGGGCTCCATCATGTGTAACAGTGACTTGGGAGTGATTTGGCAATCACTCCAAAGGTCTTCCTCCTTCTTCTCACTGCTTTGTATACTGAGCGCAGCACCATGTGTAGGGTCTGGAACATCCCTTTGTTAGTTGGGGTCACCTGTCCTGGCTGTGTTCCCTCACACCTGCTTGTGCACCCCCCAGCCCCTCCCTGGTGGGGAGCAGAAGAGGCTTTGACACTGTGCAAGCGCTGCTTGGCAATAATGAAACATCCCTGTGTTATCAACCCTGTTTCCACCAAAATCCAAAACATGGCCTCATACTGGCTACTGAGAGGAGCATTAACCCTATCCCAGCCCAAACCAATGCGGCATCTGTGGGTAATCTGCTTCTGGGTGGATTGTTTCAGGGTGCAGTCTTACGATGTTAGTAGCAGTGTACTGTAATCTGGGGTTTTTGGAGTACTGACCTTTCTGTGATGTGTCAACTGTGCCAGTCATGACTATATTTCTTTTGAAGAGAAAGTTTTGACTTAATTCAGCTAGTTTCTTGTACCAAAGTCTGACTTCAGCACTGAGATTGGTTAATTTTACACTTAACTTCTTTTATTGCCTATAAAAGCTTTCTTAAACTTGCTTTCTTAAACTCTTAGGACTATTCAGTCATTATAAAGTCCAGCAGAATCTAGAGTCACCTTTCTATTTGTCAAGTTCTATGTAATGGCAACCCACTTGTGATATGCTTAGGCATAAATTTATTAGCCAATTCTTACCACCTTTTCTTGAGCAGCTTAAAATTAAAATGAAATGGTTGCTCTGTTCCTTAAAAACACTATTTTAATATTTTTGTCCCTGTATCTTTCGAAGTACTTTATTGCAAATTCTCTTTAAAGCATAGTTCTTTATTTGTTGTGCATGCATCCAGTTTCACCTAGATCAGTAAATGTTCATGTGTTAAAGTGACTTACAGACACCAAGGCTCAGAGCAAGAGTGATAGGTTCTTATGGATAATTAGTTCAGTGTGCCTGGCAGGTGCATTCATATGGAGCTATAGAATAAATTCTGTGCAAAATACTTTTGAACAAGGGAAAAAATTGGCATTTTCCCTAATGCAAAGTTTATTTATGTACTCTTGAGTAAATTAGCATATCAAGAATAACTTCATGGATTCTAAAACTTCAAATTTTAATTCAGGAGCACAGATGAGTGTATTTTTTCTGGCACATGGCTACTAAATTTATACCTTCTCAGTAAGATGTCTATTTAAATTCTTACTAAAAGTGTTGGTGTACTCCTGAAAAATGAGTAGTATGTACTGCTAAGTTGTTGTGGTTGTCCTTAGGGAACTTTTAAGTGGGTTTTTTTGTCACTGGTTGTTTTTTGTAGTTTTTTTTCTGGAGAACATTAATGTGCCATCTTCTTTGGGAAAGAAGTCTTTATCTAAACAATATCACAGCCTGAAAAATATCTCAGAAATTGAGTACATGTTTGATGGGAGCAGGCTAGGAGGGAATATACAGCTTTAATTATTCTCATGGTGTTATTAATAATTTTCATTTTTAAAGTGATTCTGTTACTTTTCTAGATGGTCCAGCTGAAGCATCTGTTACAAATGGAGGCACTGCTACTGTCACAGCCCTGAATGATGACCTGGATATCTTTGGCCCAATGATCTCTAATCCTCTACCAGCAGCTGCAGTACCTCCTGCTCAGGTAAAATTTAATAAGTGTATTTAGTTATGTGTACGTATGTTATATGTGTAAATATGTGCATGCACATGTGTATTTTCCTTCAGGGAATTGTTGATTCACACAGAAGGAATGCACACTTCTCAGCACATCTTCAACACCTCATGATAGGAGATGCTTAAAATGTAACACTGGTATTTTTCTCACCTTTTCAAGCTACTGCACTGCTTAGGTATAGAAGTAGATGGTGTGGTTTTTCCTTCTGGTTATCCAGCTAAATTGGATTCTGTCTTACCCTGGTGATAGTAGTAATGTTTTCATTTATATTCTCTTGTCTTGTTCTTTTTTTAATAGGTATTGCTGAATATAACATTATGTTCTCACGTTATTGGGCATCAAGTCATCCTTTTTAAGACAGCTTACTGCTTTGTGGTGCTGATATTTAAGAAAGACTGCAGCAGATGCTTCTCTCTTAGACCTGCTAAAAATTCAGGGTCAGAGGTTTCATACTCAAAATCAAGAACGGATATTAAAAAAAACTAATACTGCTACCTGGACTGATCTGTCTTTTGTATCATCTTGGAACTTGTATGTCTTGGCTTTCCTCAAGGGAGAGTAGCATAACTCCTGCACCTGGCCTGCTTCTTCTTATAGCCATGACAGTTTGGAAACAAACCCATCACCACGCCTGTTGTAGCCTGGAAAGGCAGCTTTGGGACACACAAAGAATCTGCTTGAAGCTGCAGCTCTCCTTGAGTAGCTGTCTGACTCAAAGAGCAAGGTGCTGGTGATGGACATGTGCAAGCTTCCTTAACCCAGACTGGCTTTTGAAAGGGAGGTTTTGGAGTAGTGGTGAGCTAGCTTCCCCATCTGGAGCATCTTGTTAAGGTCATTTAGAAGCTTATTTTTGTGTAGGGCTTTCTGTCCCACTCTGCTGAACAGGAAAGAATTGTGTGTATTCTTGAATTTATGATTTTGAGACATGTGATCTGTACTTGTTTCTCTTCATCTTTTAGTTTACATAGTATGTACAATGGAAGGGATAATGATGAAAGGG